CTCTTGGTGCCCCTCTTGGTGGCATACCTCTAGGAGTCGGTGCTCCTCTTGATGGCATTCCTCCCATTGAATGTTGTGCAGGCCCTCCTCGATTTCCTCTTGCAGCAATAGCTGCCATCATAGGATTACCTCCTCCCATAGGCATTCCTCCACCCATTCCACCTTTGGGTTGTTCTATCATTGGTTTTGATTTATCTATAGTTTCACATTTATTTAATTTCTTTCCTTTTTGAATTTGAGATAATAAATCACCTCTACCAGCAGAAGAAGGTTTTGGCATGCTATTGTTTGATGGGGGTGGTGGCATTCCAACAGGTGGTGGTGCACCAGGAGGAGGAGGGGGTGGTGGCATTCCTCCTGAAGGTGGTGGTGGTGCACCAGCAGGAGGAGGTGGTGGTGGCGCATTTGCTCCTTTGCGTTTAGAATCGTCTTTATCCTTTTTCTTATGCCCAAATAATCCCATTGAATTAGAATAAACTTATTAAGTTCATCCTAGAATAAATTTCAAAAATAACAGTATTAATGAACTTAAAAATTAATTTTTTAGTTTTAATAACGTGGTAATTTCTTCTTCTTTATGTAGAAATTTTCATATTTATTATTTACAAATGACTTAATTACGATTAAGTTTTATCACAGTAGATTTTTTTTGGACTTGTTTTATTTTAGTCATTTAGTTCAAATTTTTTCAGTAGTTTTTTATGAACAAATATTAAACAAACCGTTTTTCCTTTTAATAACTAATAAAACATGAATGAACAAATTTAATTGCACTACCAATGAAAGAAGGAACTTTAAATAAGAATATCAAAAGGAAAGATTTTTTAATTAAAGTTATTAACTAACAGACTTGTTTATTATTATTTGATAAGAAGAATGTAAAGAATATTTTTATTAATGTTCTTATGCAATAATAATTCTTCCAAAAAGAATAACAAAAGAAAAAACCCACAATAAAAACCAGGAATTATTTAAAATCGGACTTTTAAACCCTAAAATAAGTCATTTTGAAACAGTATAATGAAAATAATTAGCAATGCTTTTGTCTTAACTATTATAATTGTTGGAGGATTATATTATGCAAATTCTATCTTTGAGCCAAGAAGTTTATTATCAAGTAATGCAAAAAATATGAAATTAAAACATAAACCAGCCATTGTTGCACATAGAGGAGGAAGAGGAATTAAACCAGAAAATACTATTGAGGCAATGAGGTATAGTTATGAAAACTATGACGCAGATATGATAGAAACAGATATTCATATTACTAAAGATGGAGAATTTATATTTATTCATGATGACACATTAGAAAGAATAACTAATGGAACTGGATTTATTAAAGATTATACATTAGCTGAATTAAAACAACTTGACTTTGGTTATTGGTTTACTGATGGTAAAAGATATCCGTATAGAGGAAAAGGAATTCATTGTAATACTTTAAGAGAAGGGTATGAAGAATTTAAAGATAAAAATGCTATTATGTCAGTTGAAATTAAAGATAGAGATATTACAGTTATTGATAAATTAGTAGATTATCTTAACACTCTTTCTGGATATGAGAAGTTTATGTGTTTTTGTTGTGCTAATCATACAATGATTAGTTATTTTAAAGAAAAAACTAATCATCAATTATGTTATGAGGCAAGTGAAATAGATGCGGTTGGTTATGTTATTGCTACATCATTAGGAATAACTAATCTTTGGTATCATTTTATTCCAAATGAAAATAGATTTTTTCATGTACCATTTATTTCTCTTGGAGGTATTGATTTTTTGGATAAAAAGATGTTACAAATATTACCAAAAATTGATTTAGAAATTATGTATTTTACTATTAATAATAAAAGAGATGCTGCTATTTGTATTGGAAAGAAATGTGATGGTTTAACAAGTGATAGACCTGATATTATTGAAGAATTACTTCATTCTATCACCGAAAGAGAATTAGTTCATAATGAGAGATTTAATGGTGTTATATCATTAGATGCTAAAGATATTTCATGGGAATGTGAAAGTATTTCTTGTGAGTTTATAGATGTAGTAACGTCTACAATTCCAATTCCATTAATTTTTATTTGTAGTATTTTTATAATAAATATTTGTCTATTTAGTATTATTCATATTCTTATGATGATTCTTTCATTGCCATTTAACTTATTTAAAAAGAAAAATGAATAAATTCTTTTTTAATTGAATTATTATTAATCATTTAGTCTAATAATTCATAGATAATAATTTGTTCTACTTTAAATTTAGAATCAAAAATATCATTTGTATTTTTAAATTCATAACATTCTTTAATAGTTTTGGTTTCTCCATATTCTTTTAATGTACTAACTGTAACATTTCCAGTTTCTTCATTTCCAAATGAAAATAGTATTTGAGAATTATTGCTATTTAACTTCATTCCTACTTTCTGTTTAGGATAAACACAAACATTACTTAATTCACCTTTATGTGCAAAACTAAAAGCAAAATGATGTTCATCATAAATCCAATGATCAAAATCAACTTTATCCTCTAAATAACAACCAAACATATCACTTTCATTCATTACAACAAATGCTAAATTTTTTTTACCTTTTATTTTTTCATTAATTTCTTTACCATCAAATTTTAATTTTTCTGAATTATAAATTTCTTCACATTGTTTTTTTCCAGTCCATTTTTTAAGGCAATCACTTTGTAATAATTTAATTTCACTATCATCAATAACTTTATTATTTTTTTTTGTTTTCTTTGTTTTTTTTGTTTTCTTTGTTTTTGTTTGAGTATTTGATTTAGTTTTCCATGGAATTATATTATTGAGATCAGTATTGGGACATAATTTTAAAAGCTCTTTAGAGTTAACTGTTTTGTCTTTAGTAGATGAGGTTTCAATATCATCCATAATATCTTCTTTTACTTCTTTAGCTCTCTTCAATTGATTTTCAACATACCACTTTAATTTGTCACTAAGGTAATCACAAAATGCGATAAATTCTGTTGTTTGTTTTATTTCTTTTATTATTTCATCGAATTCTTTTCTTTTGTTATCAATTCTTTTATAAGTATCTCCTTCTATTGTTGCAGGTTGTGGTTTCTTTTTGTTTTCAAGAGAAATAAGATAAGGCTCTATCGCTTCAAAAAATTTTTCAGTTTCATCGAAGAAGTGACTGTCAAGTATGGTTTTCATTCAATGATGTTATTTTTTGAAGTTTATTTCTTTATATATAATAATAATTTATAAGTTAATTTATTATTTTTTATGTGTTATGAGTCTGTGTTTATTTTTTCTTTAAAATTAATAGTATTGTTATTTACCATTTTAATAGTTTATATTTCACCTTTTTTATTTTTTGATTTTCTTTTTTTTAATAAATGTATTCTTAACTAGAATTTATGGATATTGACAATTGGTTTTTTCAGTGATTGACAATCCTCTTTTTCAATTATAAAGTTCATATTTATCATTGTTTTATCATAATGTCAACATGATATTAATGAAGTTGAAGATGTAAAATATTACTTATGTTATGTTTTAACCATAAGTATTCATATTGTTTGATTGAAACTTACTTGTAATATCCTCAATTTATTATTAATGTTATGGTGATTATTTCTTTATACTGTGTTTTTCTATTTTATTTTAATTTCAACTTTATTTACGAACCAATCAAACACATTATTTATGTTGTTTTTTCACTTAATTGTAATACATTTATAAGTGAATAGTACTAATCATCTTATTAAGTACTTTCTTCATTCTTAGAATTTTTCAATAGAAATATCTTTTATTACTTCTATTATTTCTTTTTATTCATTTGTTTGTTTTTTGATATTGTTTATATCTTTTTTTTGTATTTTATTATGACTTTTATTTCAATTTGATAATAGGTATTTATGTCAATTAAATTATTGTTAAAGTAGTTTATATCAATATAAAGTTGATTGAATTAATGAGAGAAATAATTCTTATCATTTTTAGTTAATTATTATGAGGGTTACATAGTAGTTCTTACTGTGACTGTAATTGTTGTATTTTTATCATTTACGTTTGAAAGATGTGTTGTTTGTTTATTCTTTTTTTACAATCATTGTTTGTTTTTCTTATACTTTATACAATCTCTAAAAAAGTCATAAAAATAATTAAAATACATAGTAAATTATATTCATTGTTAGTTGAATATTAATATTATTGAAAAAGAATTATTAAGGTAGTTATGTAAGAATGAAAAAAGAGACAAAATATACGTAGAAAAGAGAAAAAAAAATAAAGGTAAATTAAATTAACAAACTTTTTTTTAAATTAAAGAAAGTTAATGTTATATTACAATATCAATAATCATTTAAGTGAAATTCATTTGATACAAAAGGTAATAAAATAAAAAGTAATTAATTAAGTA